AGCAAATGTTAAGGACAAAGAGAGAATCTTAAAGGCTCTAAGAGAGAGACAGAGAGTTACCAAAAAATGATGTCCCATTAGATTACCAAATGATTTCTCAACAGAAACACATCAGGCTAGAAAGGGATGAAAGGAAGTATATAAATTGATGCAGGGCAGAGGACTGAGTCTAAGAATACTCTATCCAGCAACACTATCATTCAAAATTGAAGGGGAAATCAGGAGCTTCACAGAAAAAAAAAAAAAGCCTAAAGGAGTTTATCATTACCAAGTCAGCAATGCAAGAAATGCTAAAAGGACTGCTGTAAAAAGGAGAAATAAAAAGAGAAGAAGGAATACAGGCACAAAAAATAAAAATGTCTACAAACAAGTACCTAGCTATAATAATAAAAGCATAATATGCTAATTAGAGCAGATGACCTTCTGGACGAAGCTACAGCTGCAAGAGAAGCCTGGCTCCTGGGTACCTGCTGGCAGGTGGAGGGAAGCCCAGGTACCACATGCCTGCCGGCGGCCAGAGGGAACCTGGGTCCCAGGTGCCGGAGGGAAACCCGGATCCTGGATGCCAGAGGGAAGCCAGTGTCGGCAGCCAGGAGAAGGAAGGCCTACTCTTGCACAAATTTTGTACATCAGGCCTCTAGTCAATAATAACCTTGAATGTAAATGAACTAAATACTCCAATCAAAAGATAGCAAGTGGTGGAATAGATAAGAAAACATGACCCATATATATGCTGTCTGCAGGAGACCCACCTCACAACAAGGGGCGCATACAGACTGAGAGTGAAGGGATGGAAAAATATCTTTCAGGCAAATGGAAATGAAAAAAAAGCTGGGGTAGCAATACTTACATATCAGAAAAAAATAGACTTCAAAGTGAAGGCCATAACAATAGAAAAGGAAGGCCACTTCATAATGCCAAAGGGATCAATACAACAAGAAGATATGACTCTGGAAAACACATATACACCCAACACAGGTGCACCCAAGTACATAAAAAAACTTCTGGAAGAAATCAAGGGAGAGATTGACAACAATACAAGTATAGTAGGGGACTTTAATACCCCACTGACATCACTTGATAATTCCTCTGAACAAAAAATCAGCAAAGAAACAGCAATCCTAAATGACTCACTAGATCAGATGGACTTAATTGGCATCTTCAGAATATTTCACCCCAAAGCTAAGGAATATACATTATTATCAAGTCCAAATGGGACATTTTCAAAGATAGACCACATATTGGGTCACAAGCAAAGTCTCTCCAAATTCAAGAAAACTGAAATCATATTAAGCATTTTCTCAGACCATAATGTCATAATATTAGAAATCAACAACAATAAAAACAATGAAAAAATTCAAACACCTGGAGGGAGAATGGCATGCTATTAAACAATGAGTGGGTTACCAGAGAGATCAAAGAAGAAATTTTAAAAATCCTGAAAATGAATGACAATGGAAACACAACAGTCCAAAATCTATGGGACTCAGTGAAAGCCAGTCCTGAGAGAGAAGTTCATTGCTCTACAGGCCTACCTCAAAAAACCAGAAAAGCCCTGATCGGTTTGGCTCATTGGACAGAACGTCAGCTTGGGGACTGAAGGGTCCCGGGTTTGATTTGTCAAGGTCATGTACCTTGGTTGCAGGCACATCCCCAGGAGGGGGTGTGCAGGAGGCAGCTAATTCATGTTTCTCTCTCATCAATGTTTCTGACTCACTATTCCTCTCCCTTCCACTCTCTAAAATATCAATAAAATATATTTCATTAAAAAAAAAACAGAAAAAATGGTAATAAATTATCTAACCCTGCAACTTAAAGAATTAGAAAGAGAGCAACAAGAAAAGCCCACAGTAAGCAGAAAGAAGAAAATAGAAAAGATCAGAGCAGAAATAAATGATATAGAGACCAAAAAAACAATACAAAAGATCAATAAAACCAAGAGCTGGTTCTTTGAAAGGCTAGGCAAGACTGATGAACCTCTAGCCAGGCTCACCAAGAAACAGAGAGAGAGGACCCAAATAAACAAAATCAGAAATGAAAGAGATGAAGTAGCAACTGACCCCACAGACATACAAAGGATTGCAAAAAAATACAATGAACAACTCTACTCCAAAAAAACTGGAAAAGGTTGACAAAATAGACATATTCCTAGAAAAATACAAGCTTCGAAAAGTCAATCAGAAAGAATCAAAAAACCTGAACAGGCCAATAACTACTTATGAAATTGAAACAGAAATCAAAAAAAATTCCAGAAAACAAAAGCCCTCTGGATCGAATGGCTTCACAGGGGAGTTTTACCAAATACTCAAAGAAAAACTAAAACCTATCCTTCTTAGACTATTCCAAAAAAATTCAAAAGGAAGGCACACTTCCAAGCTGTTTCTATGAAGCCAGCATTACCCTAATCCCAAAACCAGGTAAAGACACTACAAAAAATTAAAAAAAATAAAAGAATTACAGGCCAATATCCCTGATGAACATAGATGCTAAAATCCTCAACAAAATTCTAGTAAATCAGATCCAGCATTACATTAGAAAGATCATATACCATGACCAAGTGGGATTTATTCCAGGGATGCAAGGCTGGTACAATATCCACAAATCAATAAATGTGATACATCACAAAAACAAATTGAAAGACAAAAATCACATAATCGTATCAACTAATGCAGAAAAGGCATTTTACAAAATCCAACACCCTTTCCTGATAAAAACTGTCAGCAAAACGGGAATAGAGGGCTCATACCTTAACATAATAAAAGACTTATATGACAAACCTACAGCCAACATCATACTCAATGAACAAAAACTAAAACCATTTCCCCTAAGAACGGGAACAAGACAGGGATGCCCACTTTCACAACTTCCGTTTGATATAGTACTGGAAGTGCTAGCCATAGCGATCAGACAAAAGGAAGAAATAAAAGGCATCCAAATTGGAAAAGAAGAAATAAAATTGTCATTATTCTTTAGAAAACCCTAAAGACTCTATCAAAAAACTTCTAGAATTAGTAAATGAATTTGCCAATGTAGCAGGATAGGAAAGTAATACCCAGAAATCTATGGGGTTTTTTTTACACCAATAACGAACTCACAGAAAGGGAAACTGAAAAAACAACCCCGAGAAGCATGGATCAGACCATCAAATCTCAGAGGGAAGAAAGGGGAAGGCAGGGTTAAAAGGGAGAGATCAACCAAAGGACACAGACACCAGGGGGGTGAGGGCATGAGTGGGGGTGGGGTGCGGGGGCAATGGTAATACCTTAATCAATAAAGAAAAAATAAATAAATATAAATCCCATTTAGCATTGCAACAAAAATATTAAGATACCAGGAATAAACTTAACTGGGGATGTAAAGAACCTGTACTCTGAAAATTACAGGATGCTGTAAAAAGAGATAGAGGAACACATAAACAAATGGAAAAATATACCACATTCATGAACTGGTAGAATCAACATCATTAAAATGTCCATACTACCCAAAGTAATCTATAGATTCAGTGCAATCCCCGTTAAAATACCAACAGCATATTCCAAAGACCTAGAACAAACTCTCCAAAAATTCATCTGGAATAAAACAAGACCCTAAATAGCTGGAGCAATCTTGAGAAAGAAGAACAAAGTTGGAGGGATCACAATACCAGATAACAAGCTATATTACAAAGCCACTCTTCTGAAAACTGCTTGGTATTGGCACTAGAACAAACATATAGACCAAAGGAACAGAACAGAGAACCCAGAAACTGACCCAAGCCATTATGCTCCATTAATATTTGACAATGGAGGCAAGAGCAAACAGTGGAGTCAAAACAGTCTCTTCAATAAATGGTGCTGGGAATATTGGACAGATACATGCAAAAAAAAAAAAAAAAGAAAACAGACCACCAACTTACACTACACACAATAACAAACTCAAAATGGGTAAAGGACGTAAATGTAAGATGGGAAACAATAAAAATCTTAGAAGAATCCAAAGGCAGCAAAATACCAGACATTTGTCATAGCAATATCTTTACCAATACATCTCCTAGAGCAAAGGAAACTAACAAGAAAATAAACAAATGGGACTACATTAAAATAAAAAGTTTCTGCACAGCAAAAGAAACCATCAACAAAACAACAAGAACATATTTGCCAATGTTTCTCCAATAGGGTTTAATCTCCAAAATTTATAAGAAACTCAAACAACTTAACAAAAGGAAGATAAACAATCCCATCAAAAAATGGGCAAAGGCCCTAACCGGTTTGGCTCAGTGGATAGAGCATCAGCCTGCGGACTCAAGGGTCCCAGGTTCGATTCCGGTCAAGGGCATGTACCTTGGTTGCGGGCACATCCCCAGTAGGGAGTGTGCAGGAGGCAACTGATCGATGCTTCTCTCTAATTGATGTTTCTAGCTTTCTATTCTTCTCCCTTCCTCTCTGTAAAAAATCAATAAAATATATTTTTTTTTAAAAATGGGCAAAGTACCTATATAGACACTTTTTGAAAGAGGACATTCAGACACCAAGAGACATATGAAAACATGCTCAAAGTCACTAATCTTCTGAGAAATGCAAATTAAAACACCAATGAATGCCATCTCACACCTGTCAGAATGGCTATCATCAACAAATCACCAAAGACCAGTGCTGGCGAAGATGCGGAGAAAAAGGAACCCTCTTTCACTGCTGGTGGGAATGCAAACTGGTGCAGACACTGTGGAAAACTGTATGGCTTTTCCTCAAAAAATTAAAAATGGAACTCCTATTTAACCCAGTAATCTCATTTCTAGGAATATATCCCAAGAAGACAGAAACACCAATCAAAAAGGACATATGCACCCCTATGTTCATAGCAGCACAATTTACAATAGCTAAGATTTGGAAACAGCCTAGGTGACCATCAGCAGATGAGTGGATTAAAAAACTCTGGTTGCCAAAACCGGTCTGGCTCAGTGGATAGAGGGTCGGCCCTTGGACTAGAGGGTCCTGGGTTCGATTGTGTTCAAGGGCATGTACCCTGGTTGAAGGCTCGTTCCCCAGGAGGCAGTGTGCAGGAGCAGCTGATTGATGTTTCTGTTTCATCGATATTTCTAACTCTCTATCCCTTTCACTTCCTCTCTGTAAAATTAATAAAATATATTTTAAAAAACACAAAACGACAACAAAAATAAAACTGTGGTGCATCTACACAATGGAATACTACGCTGCTGTAACAAAGAAAGAGCTCTTACCATTATGCTAAGAGCATGGAGAGCATTATGCTAAGTGAAATAAGCCAATCTGAGAAAGATAAATATCATATGATCTCATTCATTTGTAGAATATAATCCTATATAATAAAAGGTTAATATGCAAATCGACCGAACGGCAGAACGACCGGTCGCTATGGTGCACACTGCCCACCAGTGGGCACATGCTCAACACAGGAGCTGCCCCCTGGTGGTCAGTGCGCTCCCATGGGGGGAGCGCTGCTCAGCCAGACACTGGGCTCACGGCTGGCAAGCTCAGCAGCAGTGACAGGAGCCTCTACCGCCTTTGTGGCAGTGCTAAGGATGTCCGATTGACGGTATAGGCCTGCTCCCTATGGGAAGCAGGCCTAAACCGTCAGTCGGACATCCACCGAGGGCTCCTGGACTGCGATAGGGCACAGTCCGGGCTGAGGGACCTCCCCCGCAAGTGCACGAATTTCATGCACCGGGCCTCTAGTGAATAACATAAACTGATGAACAAAAATAGATCCAGAGTCATAGAAGCATCTAACAGACCCTCAAACATCAGAGCAAAGGCTGGGGAAGGGTGGGGTGGGGGCTAAGAGATCAACCGAAGGACTTGTATGCATGCATATAAACATAACCAATGGGCATAAACAGTTGGGGGTGAGGGCATGTGCTGGGGCGGTGGGAGTGGACGGGGAGAGGTTAATGGGGGGAAAAGGACACATATGTAATACTTTAAAGAATAAAGAATTTAAATTAAACAAACAGAAAACCTAACTGATGAGACCTGGCTGGTGTGTCCAGTGGTCAGACCATCAGCCAGTACACTGAAGGGTCACAGTTTCGATTCCAGTCAAGGTCATGTACCTGAGTTGCAGGTTTGATCCCCACTCCAAGTTGGGGTGCATGTGGGAGGCAAACAATCGATTGGTCAATCTCACATGATGTCTCTCTCTCTCTCTTCCTCCCTCTCACCCTACATCTTTCCCTCCCCCTCCTCCCTCCCTTCTACTCTCTCTAAAAAATCAATGGAGCCCCAGCTGGATTGGCTCAGTGAATAGAGCATTGGACTGCGAACTGGAAGGTCCCGGATTTGACTCCAGTCAAGGGCACATACTTGGGTTGCGGGCTCAATCCCCAGTAGGTGGCGTGTAGGAGGCAGCCGATAAATGATACTCTCATCATTGATGTTTCTATCTCTCTCTCCCTCGCCCTTCCTCTCTGAAATCAATAAAAATATATTAATAAAAATAAAAATCAATGGAAAAAATATATCCTCTGGTGTGGATTAACAACAACAAATTAACTGACGAACAAAATAGAAACAGAAGCCTGGATACATGAACAGACTGACAGCTGTCTGAGGGGAGGAGGAAGAGGGGGACTGGATGAATGAAGGTAAAGGGATTAGCCAAAGAACATATATGCATAACCCATAGACACAGACAACAGTGTGCTGATGGCCAGAGGGAAAAGGGGAGGTGGGCAAAGGGGGGATGGGAATGGGGACATCTGTAATAGTGTCAACAATAAAAATAAAGTAGAAAAGAAAATGTGGTATAGATGCCACATAGGAAAGGATGGTCAGTTGTATTGAATGCTACTGAAAAGTAGAATGAAATAGGAAAGGAGAAGTAACTACTGGACTTGACAGTAGGAAGACTGTTTTTGACCTTGACAAGAATTTCAGGAGAATAATGAGAACCGAGTCGAACTAGAATGGGCTAAAGAATGAATGGAAAAGGAGAAAGCAGAGATAGAAATCCTGAGAGTCTCTTGAAGGAAGGAGGGCAATCAAAAGGAAAAACACAGTAAGCCTTGGATTTACATGTTTTCAGATGAAAAAATAGTAAAATGACTTCAGATACAAATTTAAGATAGGAAAAGATAAAAAGGTTAACATATCCTGTAATTCCCCTTAAATCCAACAGTGGATTTAAATATTGTTAGAAAAGGTTTTAATATGTTGTTCCAAGAAAGGGGTAGTTGGGGAGAGATACAAATGTATTCCAATCTACAGTTCATAAGTAGTAAAGACACATAAACATTTTACCCAGTGAAAAAATAAAATCTAAAATCATTTGAAAATATCAATTTTTCAAGCTAATATTATGTTGTTAATGCCTTGCTGTGATCATACAATTTAAATTTCAACATTCTCAAAATTAAACACCCAATTTAAAATTTAAACTCATATCTGGCATTTGAAAAATGCACAAAACAGATGTTTTACCAGTATCATAATTAAGCTACAAAAAGGAGGAAAAAAACCACATAACACATTTCTTACCATTAGTTCAGGTGATATACTATCTCTTGGGCCCTGATATGGATCATCACTAGATGCGAACGAAGCAAGGATTGACAAACCATTGAAAACCTGTTGATAGTTTTCTCCAATCCGTAGCAATAATTCATTATGCAATCCTTGGAAATCTTGTCTCAACAGGCTCCCCAGTTCAATTTCTGTTTCATTCTAATCCAAAGATACAGTTTTTTTTTAAATTTAAGAACTTTTATCCATACTAATATCCTAAAAATAAGTATATTGATTTTTTAATATACTATTAGTAAATCAAGAACTCTAGATCAGGTGGTAAGATTTACTGATATTTTTAAAAGGCAATGGATAAAGATCTGAGTTGTCCAGCTATAGAAACAGCAAGATGCCGAATGATTTCTCAGACTCATTTTAAAGACATAGGCCATGGATTGCCCTAGCTGGTTTGGCTCAGTGGATAGAGCATTGGCCTGCGGACTGAAGGGTCCCAGGTTCAATTCCAATCGAGGGCACATGACCAGGTTGCGGGCTCAATCCCCAGTGGGGGGCGTGCAGAAGGCAGCCAATGAATGATTCTCTCTCATCATTGATGTTTCTATCTCTCTCCTTTCCTCTCTGAAATCAATAAAAATATATTTTAAAAAAAAAAGACATAGGCCATGGAAATTATTCTAATCTTGTTCTTGGTCTCCCATGGGTTATAGATAATGAAGAGAAATGATCAGATTTCATTTGGAAATAAAATTTAAAAATGAAATCCTAATTTTCTATAAGGCTTTAAATTAAATTCCATTAACTCCCTGAGAAGAAATACCATTATAGTACAGTGGTTTAGAGCACAGCCTTTCTAGTCACACTGCTGAAATTTAAATTCCAAATTTGTCACTTATTAACTGTGCTGTAACTTAAACAAGTTACCTCATCTGACCTCTCTCTGCCTTAGTTTCCTTATCAATAAAATGGAAAAACATTAGTATCTTTATCTCATTAGGTAACAGTGAATGAAATGATATATAAGTTGTTGTTTTTTATATTTTTTTATTGATTTTTTACAGAGAGGAGGGGAGAGGGATAGAGAGTTAGAAACATCAATGAGAGAGAAACGTCGATCAGCTGCCTCCTGCACACTCCCCACTGAGGATGTGCCCGCAACCAAGGTACATGCCCTTGACTGGAATCGAACCTAGGACCCTTCAGTCTGCAGGCCGACGCTCTATCCACTGAGCCAAACGTAAGTTTTTTTTGTTGTTGTTTTTTAATATTTTATTCATTTTTCACAGAGAAGAAGGGAGAGGACCAGAGAGCTAGAAACATCGATGAGAGAGATCGATCAGCTGCCTCCTGCACGCCCCCCACTGGGGATGTGCCCGTAACCAAGGTACATGCCCTTGACTGGAATCGAACCCGGGACCCTTCAGTCCGCAGGCTGGCGCTCTATCCACTGAGCCAAACCAGTTCGGCAGGTTTTTTATCAAAATTTCTGACATGTAGTAAGCACTCTATAAATATTTTATTATCATTTCACCTCTATGATACAGACTTTTTTTCTCAAAATTAATTAATATACCCAATATTCAACAACTCTCATGTGGAGAAAGATCAATTGCTGGCATATCATTAAATACATGAAATAAATTAACATCAGAGGAAATACTAAAGTCACATATGCATATTGTACAGGTTCTCCTGTTCCCATGTAGTCTCGTAGTCTACAAATACCATTGCTAATCTGACACCAAAAAGATGCACAGCTATTATTTTAAATTAAAAAACTACCAAGAAACTGAGCAAAATTGTAATCAGAGCATTAAGTAAACTAAATGCTGACATTATACTACATTTAAAGGAAACTGCCTCTTCCTATAGATATAATTACTTGCATATTATTCATCAACTTATAGTTCCAATCGATTAAAAACTCCTAAAATGAAATTAGCTGAGAAACTGATCCATGAATGGATGATTATCATATGCCATTATGGTGAAATGATCAAAGAAAATAACAAAATAATAATTCTATTTATGTAATAAGCTCCTCTAGTCCCAGGACAAAGCTTATTTGCATAATACCATTTAAACTTATATTACTCTAGGATAGGCTATAAATTAACCACTCACCTTCAGACAAAAATGTTACTGCAGCTTTCTTTAATGCTAATTTATTTTATTGTTGACAGTATTACAGATTTCTCCCATTTCCCATCCCCTCTGCCCCGCTCTGCCCAGCCACTACCCACCACTGTAGGTCTTTACCACCCATGGTTTGTGTCCAAGAGCTTTTACTTCCTTGGATAAGTTTATTCTTAGCTATCTTATTATTTTTTTGTTGCAACAGTAAATGGGATTTTTTTTTTTAGTTTGTCTGAGAGTTCATTATTGGTGTATAAAATGCCATAGATTTCTGAATATTAATTCTGTATCCTGCTACATTGCCGAATTAATTTATTAGGTCTAATAGTTTCCTGGTGGAGTCTCTAGTGTTTTCTATGTACAATATCATGACATCTGTGAATAATTACATTTTCACTTACTCCTTTCCAACTTGGATGCCTTATATCTCTTCTTCTCTGATCACCATGCCTAGGGCTTTCAGTTCTATGCTAAGAGCAGTGAAAGTGGACATCTTTGCCTTGTTCCTGTTCTTAAGGGAAACGCTTTTAGTTTTTGCCCATTGAGTATGATGTACCGGTACATTTGTCATATATCGCCTTTATTATGTTGAGTTATGATCCCTCTATTCCCACTTTGCTGAGTTATTATCAAAAAATGGTGCTGGATTTTGTCAAATGCTTTTTCTGTATTTATTGATATGATTATGTGGATTTTATCTTTCATCTTGTTATGTGATGTATCACATTTATTGATTTGCCAAAACTGTTCCAGCCTTGCATCCCAGAATAAAACCCACTTGATCATGGTGTGTTTTTAATATATTCCTGCGTTTGTTGTGCTAACATTTTGTTGTGGATTTTAGCATCTGTGTTCATCAAGGATACTAGCCTTTTCTTTCTTTGTAGTGCCTTTATCTGGTTTTGGAATTAGGATAATGCTGGCTTTGTAAAAAGAACTTGAAAGTGTTCCTTCCTCTTGAATTTTCTGGAATAGTTTGAGGATGATAGGTATTAGTTCTTTAAATGTTTGGTAGAACTCGCCTATGAAGTAATCTGGTCCAGGACTTTTGTTTGCTGGGAGTTTTTAAATTACTGTTCCAATTTCATTAGTTGTTATTGGCCTATTCAGGTTTTCTGATTCTTCCTGATTGAGTTTTGTAAATGTGTATGTCTAGGAATTTGTCCATTTCGCACAGGTTGTCCAATTTGTTGGCATATAGTGTTCACAGTATTACTTTACAATCCTTTTTTCAATTCTGTGGTGCCCATTATTATATCGTCACTTTCTGATTTTATTTATATAGGTCCTCTCTCTTTGTTTCTTGATACGTTTGGCTAAGGGTTACTCAATCGTTCATCTTTTCAAGGAACCAGCTCTTGGATTCGTTGATCCTATGTACAGTTTTTTTAATCTCTATGTCTTTTATTTCTGGTCCAATCTTTATTTTCTCCCTTATAGTTCCTCTGGGCTTTTCTTCCTGTTCTCTTTCCAATTCATTTAGTTGTAGGGTTAATTTATTAGTGCTTTTTCTTGTTTATTGAGGTAAGCCTGTAATGCTATGAACTTCCCTCTGAGGACTGCTTTCCTCTGTCCCATAGGTTTTGGGTGGTTGTGTGTTCATTTTCATTTGTTTCCAGGAAGTTTTTAGTATCTTTTTTTTTATCACATTAGTAATACACACATTGTTTAACAACTTGCAATTTAGTTTCCATGTATTTGGGTGTTTTTGAAGTTTTTTGTTGTTATTGTAGTTGACTTCTAACTTCATGCCATTGTGATCTGAGATGCTTGGTATGATATGAATCTTCTTAAATTCATATAGATTTATTTTGAGCCATAACATGTGTTCTAGCTTTGAGAATGTTTCATGTGTGCTTGAGAATATTGTATATTTCCTTGCTTTGGGGTGAAATGTTCTGTAAATATTAGTTAGATACAGTGTTATCATTTAAGTCATCTGTTTCCTTGCAGATTTTTTATTTGGAAGATCTATCCCAGTGATGGCAAACCTATGACACACGTGTCAGAGGTGACACGCGAACTCATATTTTGGGTTGATTTTTCTTTGTTAAATGGCATTTAAATATATAAAATAAATATCAAAAATATAAATCTTTGTTTTACTATGGTTGCAAATATCAAAAAATTTCTGTATGTGACACGGCACCAGAGTTAAGTTAGGTTTTTTCAAAATGCTGACATGCCGAGCTCAAAAGGTTCACCATCACTGATCTATCCAGTGATGTCAGCGGGGTGTTAACACCTTTCGTACCGCATAGAAATCTCTAAGACATACGCCAGGGACCGCACGTTTTTGGGCAAACTGCATGTTATTTAAATCATCATAACTACAGATCATAATGCACTTTAGGTGTTGTTTTTCAATAATTATAACATTTTTATTTACAAAAACAATTAAACAATTAAACAAGTTCCTAGTACTTTTTTAACGTATGGTACTGAGTAAAACATTTTCTAAAAGCGCCAGGAACTTGAAGACGAAGACTATTCAAATGACCAAAATACAATGTAACTGCAATGCTTTATGGGTTTGTGCCATTATATAGTTTTTCGTAGATTGACCTGCACGGTTTCCACCAATGAGATTGCTTCATTCAATGTGGACAAGACAGTGTGCTGACATCTAAGGTCCATAACAGATGGCGCGCAAAACACGAGAAAACTCATGAGTGGTACGAAAGGTGTTTAAAGTACCTTACTATGACTGTATTGCTATCTGTATCTTCCTTAAAGTCCATCAAGAGTTTTTTTGTTTTGTTTTTTTAAGGTATTTCGATGCTCCTGTTTGGGTGCATGTGTGTTTATATGCATTTTATTTTCTTGTTCAATCATTCCCTTTAGTATTATTTAGCCTTCTTTGTCTCTTATTATAGCCTTTGTTTTGAAGTCTATTTTGTCAGATATGAGTATAACTTCCCCAGCTTTTTTTCCTTTCCATTTGCATGGAATATTCTTTTCTATCCTTTCACTTTCAATCTGTAGGTATCTCTTGTTCTGAGGTGGGTCTCTTGTAGACTTACATATATGGATCATGTCCTCTTTGGAGAAGTGTCAATTCAGGTCCTTTGCCCATATTTGAATTGGATTCTTTATCTTCCTTTTGTTGAGTTGTATGAGTACTTTATATATTTTGGAGATTAACCCCTTATCAGATGTATCATTAGCAATTATGTTCTCCCATATAGTGGGTTCCCATTTCATTTTGATGGTGGTTTCTTTTGCTTTGCAAAGCTTTTTAGTTTGATGTAGTCCCATTTGTTTATTTTTTTGGTTTCTCTCACCCTAGGAGATGTATCCATAAACATATTGCTACAAAAGATGTCTTACATTTTACAGCCTGTTTTCTTCTAAGATTTCTACGGTTTCGTCCCTTACATGTTTTCTTATCCATTGAGTGACCCTATCTCTTTTGATTGGAGCATTTATTCCACTTACATTTAAGGTTATTATTGACTAGAAGCCCGGTGCATGAAATTCGTGCACGGATGCGGTCCCTAGGCCTGGCCAGCAATTGAAGTGCGAGCGTCTGGAGTTTAAGGGCAGGTCCCAGCTGACCCCTGGGCCCTGGGCAGCACCTGGGCACCCAGGTCCCCACGCGAGCCCTTCTGCCTGAGTCACAGTGCCTGAGTCCCCATGCAAAGATGCAGTGAGCGCGGCCAGATGCCGTGAGCTGGGGCATAGCATGAGCCTCTGGGCTGACCAGTGGCACCACATGGAAGCTAGGTGGGCAGTATGCTCTCTCCCAGCCGGCCTCGCAGACCGGCTCCTGTGCAAACCAACAGGAAACCTGACTGGCCCCCATGGCCCCAGCAGCTGTGGCCCAGCTCACCCGGGGGAGGCAGCGTGGGTGCAGGGGGGGGGACTCCTCGCAGGTACCCGGCACCTGAGCACGGGGGCTTCCCCGGCGTGTGAGCCCTGGCACCCTGGTGGTCAGCACACATCATAGCAAGCAATCAAACTCCCAGTCGAGGGGACAATTTACATATTAGGGTTTTATTATATAAGATAGGTATTTATTTACTGTCACTTTTATTTTCTTTATATCTATGATCCTCTCTCTCCTTTTTTCTTAAAACAGTCCCTTTAACATTTCTTGCATTGCTGGTTTAGTGGTAATGTATCCTTTAATTTTTATTTTTTTGTCTGGAAAGCTTTTTATTTCACCTTCAATTTTATATGAAAGCCTTGTTGGATGTTATAGCCTTGGGTTCAGGCCTTTGCTTATCATTACTTTGAATACTTCATGCCATTCCCTTGTGGTCTGAAGTGTTTCTATTTAGAAGTCAGGTGACATTCTAATGAGATCTCCTTTGTAGGTAATTTTCTGTCCATCTCTTGCTGCCTTTAGGATTCTTTGTCTTTAACATTTGCCATTTCAAATATGATGTGTCTAGATGTGGGTCTCTTTGGGTTCATTTTGACTAGGACTTTCTGTGCCTCCTCAACTTGTGTGGTATTTCCCTTCACCAAGTTGGGGAAGTTTTCTATCATTATTTCGTCAGTTTCTCTGTTTCTTGCTCATATTCGTCCCCTTCCGGTATTACTATGATATGGATGTTATTAGGTTTCATAATTTTTCCCAGAGCTTCCTTAAGCTATAATCCTGCTTTTTAATTCTTTTTTCTATTTGCTGCTCTAATTGGGTAATTATTTCTATCTCATCCTCCAAATCACTTATTCAATCCTCTACTTCATCCAATCAACTTATAATTTCTTCCAGTGTGTTCATAATGTCAAATATATTATTATTCTTTTCGATCTGGTTCTTGTTCATGGTTTCTCATTACTTTTTCATGTTGTTGTAGTTTGCATTAAGTTCCTAAAGCATCTTCATAACAATTGCTTTGAACTCTATGTCTGAAAGGTTGCTTGCCTCCATTTCATTTTTTTTCTGGAGACTCCTTGTCTTTCATTTGGAGGTTGTTAATTTGTCTCCCCATTTTAGCTGTCTCTTTGTATTCATTTCTATGTATTAGATAGAACTGTTATGTCTCCCTGTCTTTGTGGGATGGCCTTGTATAGAAAGTGTCTCGAGAGGTCCAGTGGTGCAGTCTCTTTGATCTCCTGAGTTGGATGCCCCACAACTGCCCCTTCCGTGCATTATTTGTGCTCTCCTGCTGTAATTGGGACTTGATTATTTACGTCCCCTTCGTGGGAGGAATCTCCCCTCCAACTTGCTGACAGTGAAGCTCAACACCAATCTCGCTGTGCCAGCTGTTATACAGGTGCTGACAGAACAGAAGACACAATAGGATGGAGCAAAAACACCTTGAAAATCAAACTACTCAAAGCAACAACAGGAAAGCCTAAGAAGGAAAAAGAAGAAAAAGCAAAGCAAAATTAATTAAATAAAAAGAATATTAAAAGACACGAGACCAAAAACTTAGAGGGGATATAAAGACAAAGGGAGAAAGAAGAAGAAAAATGGCATTATGGGATCAAAAAGGAAGCTAAAAAATCTAGTATAGGAACGAAAAGGAAAAGGAAACAGAAAAATTAAATAATAATAGTGAATTTAACATACAGTAACAATGGACATATTAAGATATAGATAAAATAGGCAAAAAATGAAAAAAGAAAAATAAAATAAATTGAGAAAAGTTAATAACAATAAAAAAGACGAAATGAGAATACAATCAAAGGAAAGAGAGAAATTAGAAATATACAAGAAAATAGAGAAGAAAAAATGGGAAGAAACAGACAAAAAGAAACAAAAGCCACCCCACTCCCCCTTCCCCCCCCCCCCAAAAAAAATGCCACACAAAAAACCATACACACTCACACACTCCAAAACTTTTGGTCTACTATTTATGGAGCTTACTAGATTTTGCTCTGATGTTGTTGAATTTGGTCCCTTGGTGTGTCTAACCTGGGCCTCTCGGGAGCTTCCTTGGCAGCAGGCCAATGTGAGTCACTATCCCTTTCTGGCCCTAGGCAACCTGAGGCCTGATACATTGAAGCCCATAGCCAGCAGGCAGGGTCTCCTTAGCCCAGAGGCTGAGTCTGCCTCGAGTCTCATGCCTTGAGTGTCCCTGTTCTCCCTTCCTCCACAAGCTGGGCTCTGTAGGGGCATCCTGGTCTTAGCCAGGATGGTTTGATCAGACTAGTGTTGGGAGTGATGCCAATAGCATGCACTTCCTCCCCTTCCAATGCCTCAACCTTGCTTGGCTTGCTGGCTCCCCCTCATTGCCGCCTGCAGAGGCACAGATTCCCAGCCCTGGGCTGTTCCTCATTACCTCAGGTTGCTGAAGCTTGGGTCAGAAGCAGCTGTTTTTCCAGTGGGAAAGAGGGCGTCTCCTCCGTGTTCAAGTTGGCAGGGCTGATCCTCCTTCCTGGTCCTACTGTTCAATCCCCTTTCTGCTCCACAGCATGAGATGCTTCAAATCTGCAGCCTCTTCAGGTACTCTGTTCTAGTAGGTCCAGGGCAGGGGAGACTACATCCACCTCCATGGCCTTCAGCGCAGTTCCTGCCCCCGAGCCCTGGCAGTGGAGCAGAGCAGCTGGGTTCTCATGCTGTAGCAGCAGCACAGCAGGGGCAAGAGTCCCGTTGGGTCAGTGTCAGTCACACAGGTCTGGGCAGTGTCCACAGTCAACACGTGGGGCTTGGAGCTGGATGCACATAGGTTCGGGCCTGGTTCCGGCGAGTACAGGTCGTGGAGAGGCTAGGCTGCTGCTCCCCACAGCCCCAGGAGGACCTTATAAAACTTTCAAGATGGAGCAGTCTCCAAATCAGAGCCATGCCCAGGAATGGCTATGGGAGTTGCAGCAGCTACCAGGCCAAAAGAGCCCAAACCTCCTGCCCCTAAGACTCCCGCACGTGATCTGACTGACCTTCACCCACACCCACACCCACACCCACAACCACCTGCGCACTCGCCATCTTACTCCCTCACTCACACTCTCAACCTCATTCAGGTCCTGCTGGCCACCATGTTGAAGTGTCCTTTAATGTTAATTTAATAAGAGTAAAGTAGATAGATAGATAGATAGATAGATAGATAGATAGATAGATAGATAGATAGATAGATAGATATTCAATTACCTTTAAGTAATGAAGGGCACGTTCTAATTCATCCTTGGAACAGGAACAAACCAAGTGAGAAAAAATATATTTGAAGTTATTTATTAAAATCTCTCTACGATTGACATTTAATTGTTTTCCTAAAGTTCTAATGAGAGCAGATGCTGCAGGGCTTGCTTTGGCAGCAAGGTCAGGAAGCAGAAGTTGTAATGTCCTCTGAAAAAAACACACACTACAATTACCAAAAAGTACATTTGTCCAGGCAATAAAATATTCACATAAGCTATATGCAAAAATATTTTAAAATGCCACACAAATTCAAAGTCCACATATGACATTTGAATTCCTATTTACCATTTATTCATTCAACATATATTTACCAAGCATATACTACAATTCAGGCATTACAGATAAAGTAATGAAAAAACAGGCAAGGTTCCTGATGACAGAGTTTAAAATGTAGAGTGGAAGAGACAATAAATAAGAAGATACTTTTTCATGAGTATGTGCTAAAATATACTTATGATCTAAGGATAAGTTCCAGGCCTGATTTATTATTTGAGCTAACTTATTTTTATTGATTTTTTTTTTTAATTCTCACCAGAGGATATTTTTCCATTGATTTTAGAGAGTGGAAGAGAGAGGGAAAGACAGAGAAATATCAACGTGAGAGAAACACATCGATTGGTTGCCTCCTACATGCACCCTGACCAGGGCCCGAGCTGGGGAGCCTGCATTCAAGGTACTTGCCCTTGACCAGAATTGAACCTGGGACCCTTCGGTGCACAGGCCAACGCTCTATCCACTGAATCACACTGGCTAGAGCGTTTTTATTGCTTTTAGAGAGGAAGAGAGAAAGAGAGAAGGGAGTGAGGGAGAGAAAGACACTGAGGTGGAAGAGAAACATCAATCCGCTGCCTCTCATATGCACCCTGACCAAGGATAGAACTCACACCCTAGTTATGCTGCCCTAATTGGGAATGGAACCCACAACCTTTCAGTATATGGGACAACGCTCCAACCAACTGAGCCATCTGGCCAGGGCGATATTTTAAGTTGTTTAAGTTAGAAAGTTGATGCTACAAGTACTGAAGAAAACTTTTTTAACAACACCCACTGTCCCAAAACAGGAACAAATCTATTTTGATTTTGGCCTATTTCCCTTAAGATCTTGCTCATAAAATATACTCAAAATTCCAAACATAAAATGATTGACTTTTGATTTATTCATTCAACACGTAACCTACGAATACCTACTCCATGTCAGTCACTGAAGATGAGACAATGATCAAGATTTAGGCCTGCCTTCAGAGATGTTTACATCCCACTTGTATTATGTCTTTCAACTTAATATTAATCCTAGAAGACTGCTAAACATTATAAGGTAGTTTCTACAAAGCATTTATAATATTCTATGACTTAAATATTAGACATTTAGATTCTTCTCAGGGTTTTATAGGTGTACAATGCAGTGTGCAGATGATGTCTTATTGAGTTGTACACCTGAAACCTGTATCCCAATAAATTCAATTTAAAAAAATCTGCCCTGGCCAATATTGCTCAGTGGTTAGAGTGTTGACCCATGCACTGAAGGGTTGCAGATTCGATCCCCAAGCTCTGTTTGGGGCCAACTGCGAGAAGCAACCAATCGATGTCTCTCTCTCACATCAAAGTTTCTCTCTTTCTCCCTCCTTCTTTCCCTCCCTCCCTTCCACTCACTCTAAAAGTCAATGGGTAAAAATCCTTGGTTGAGGATTAACAAAAAAAATTTAAAAATAAAAAAATTTTAAACATCTAGAATAAATACAAAATATTGAATTAAAAACCTCAGTTAAGTCAACTATACTATGGGACTTACGGTAAGGAAACGATTAAGATCCGGAAAGTCAAAAACATTGGCAATTTCAGACAAGGTATTTAAAGCCATTTCTCTCTGGTGAGCCATATCTTGTTTGCGCATCTCAGTATTCTGGCATGGAGTACTAGGAAGTACTGCAATCTGACTGGAGTGGAGGGATTCCACCAAAAACTAGAGCAAAATGATTTGTTAGTTTTCACACAAGGAAAATAATTTAACTAATACTTTTCAAGGTAACATAACAGAAAGTACCAGACAATGTTCTAAACATATTACCTGAATTAATATTCATTTAATTGTTATAACAACCTTAGTGGAACAGATTATGTGTAATCTCCCTTTTACAGGTAAATAACCAGGCTTACTTAAGAAACTTGAATATCTTACACCAATAGAGGACAAAGCCAATATTTTAATATACCTTAACTTTTCTGCTTCAACCTTTTCACAAAATACCTTTTCCATAATATCAAAGCATAAAAAAAAGTTTATCATCACTAAAAGGAAGGCTAAAAGAGGCATCTCTTAATAGATTAATAATAGAGCATGATAACCCAATATATTATTATAAAATGATTTTTCCTCTCTACATCTTTAGTCCAAGATACTAAAATGTAAAACTGGCAAGATTTAGATCCTCTTAAATAAACTGAATATATCATTTTAAAAACAGTATCTTTTAAGGTAAGAAAAATAAAACATATATATATATATTCTTTTAACACTTGCAAAGCACTGCTATTTCCTATAGTCAAGACCAATGCTGACTCTCACCTGACAGATGGGTTTCTTATACTGGCTGAAAAAGTTTTGCAGTTTAACACTTTTAGCTGCAACCAGGGCTCTAATTTCTGTGTATGCTGCTCCAGAGACAGATGCTGACTTGGATAGTAAACAATGCAGTAAGTGCAAAAGTGCAAAAGGTACCAAATCTCCTTTTGCTGCCCTAAAATTAAAAATAAAAAAGTTATCATCAATGTCTCAAAAATAAATGGAAATCCACAAATAAATACATGCTGATGTCACATTTCTTTCTATAATACCACAACTCTCATATCACCATTTCAAACACCAGGCAAATAAAAATGACCAAAATAAGGAAGAATAATGCTGCCAAATATACCTTCCAATATCCCCTGTTGTAAGAATCAAGGTATCCTTCAGCTCATTATTTCTTGATATTTGAGCATGTGTATATGCTTCCTTCATTCTTAAGACAAAAAGCTAGAATAATAAAATTAATTAATTAAAATTTTTAAGGCCAGGTTATGAAAACACAAAAGTTTAAAAATAAAAATTATCAAACCTCTTTTATAAATCCATCTTCAGAGTCCAAGGATTCCAATATATGCTTGATATTTCCACTAAAAGCCACTCTAACATCCTTGTCTGGATCTTCCATTAAATTTAATAAAGTTCCAAGAACTGTTTTTACATCTGTTTCATCTTCTCTAAAATCAAGATGCTTACAAAGATGACACAAATTATCTATGAAAGCTAAAAAGCAAGAGCATATTAACCCCTAACTTAGTACATTAAATATCAAGAGTTTTATTGTAAAAAATATGGTCAATAAATAATATGCTTCTTAGAATTCTAAGTTGCCTTATCCTGTTAATATTTAGTATTTGAATTTGAAGAGCACATCAAATTGTGGAAGATTAAAATGAACTTATTTTAAATATCTTTATACTTAATAAAAGTTATAAGTAATTGAAATCTAAAATAAACTCTAGAAATTTTTAAGTTGTAAAATTGCTAGTCACTTATGATTTTATGTTACCAAGATAGACATAAAAGTACATTTCACTAATCTGAAGAACTGTGAACTCAGGGCAATCATCGCCTTACTGTTAATCTTACATTAAAATATTTAGGTAAGAGATCAACCGAAGGACTTGTATGCATGCATATAAGCAAGACACTGGGGGGAGGAGGGGGAGGGCATGTGTGGGGGGTGGGTAGGGGGAGGGCATGTGTGGGGTAGGGAAGGCCGGGGGAAGGTCAATGGGGGAAAAAAGGAGATATATGTACTACTATTCGTAATACTTTAAACAATAAGATAAAACTTAAAAAAATTAAGAAGTCAGAGAAACTACCTATCACATACTGTTTTGAAAACTTGACAAGTTACAAATTAGAATCCAAATCAACAGGTCTTCTAAGTATTTGTATAAATCTTATGCTCCCAACAAACTCAAACAACATTACCATTGGAAAGTGGTCAAGAAGACACAATCTATAGCTTCAATTGGGCATTTCTAACTATTTGAAGTTCTGAAGGGCCAAGGTAGTGGCATGGAGCAAATTAAGAAGGTCCTGGTATCTCCAAAGAAACTCACTACAATGAACCAAAACATCAGGTATGCCCCATTATGCTGCCATATCACAAGAGCATTTTAAAATCCAAATATTAGTTCCCTTGTTAGTTCTATGATACAGTCATCCCATTTATAAATAACTAGAGGCCCAGTGCATGAAATTCGTGCACAGGGGTTGGGGGCCCTGCACCCTCTCCAATCTGGGACATCCCTCACAATCCAGGACTGCTGGCTCCCAACCGCTTGCCTGCCTGCCTGATTGTCCCTAACTGCTTCTGCCTGCAAGCCTGGTCACACCCTAATCACTCCCCTGCCAGCCTGATCGACGCCTAACTGCTCCCCTCAAGGCCCGATTGCCCCTAACTGCTCCCCTGCCAGCCCAATTGCCCCTAACTACCCTCCCCTGCCGGCCCAATTGCCCCTAACTGCCCTTCCCTGCAGGCCTAATTGCCCCCAACTGCCCTCCCCTGCTGGCCATCTTGTGGTAGCCATCTTGTGTGTTGGGGTGATGGTCAATTTGCATATTACTCTTTTATTAAGTAGGATCAATACTTGAACAAGTCTGAACCTATCAAGCAAGTCTAATTTTTTAAGGCTTCAGGCTAATTTTATCACTGATTTTAAAAACAGAGGTTAAATGTATTTTAAAATATTAAATAACAAATCACTCACCAAGTTTCACTAGACTAGGTACTTTTTCTTTCAGTAGAAAAAGGAATGGCTTGAAAACAGAAGCTCTTAGTCGAGAAGATAAACATTCATGTTGAGAAGTGACTTTTAAGCTCTTACAGAAGTCAATATGTCCATGTTCAGAAAAAGGTTCTATTAAAGAACTTGTCAAATAAAACATGCCATGAAGTATACAGACAAGTTGACCAAGTATAGAGGCAAATTCTTTCTTGACAATATCAGAATCATCTTTAACTTTATCTCTGGGGGCAAAAAAAAAAAAGGTACTAAACCTTTTTGCTTAATTGTGTAGTCTAAATAGTCTTACTTAATTTGGGACAAAAGTACTAGTAAGACAAAGCCTCGAAGAAAAAATATTTAAATTCTAAAACAAAAAGCAACATTTGTTCTATTAATATCAGCAATTAACATACATTTACAAATGTGATCTTTCCAAACAAGTTATATATTCAAATTAAAATAGGAATACATACATAAGAATCTTGGGAACTGTGTGATAAGAATTCTGCTTCTGAAATAATATAAAAAATCCATTAACACAACTAGTTCTGATTACTTCATGGGAGCTCTGCAGGGCCCAGCTGTAAACTGCTATTCTCCATTCAAGGAATATTCTTCTTGGAAACAGAGTTAGAAGAAACACACATCGTGACTGAGCCTGTGGTGCTGAAAAATTAAGTCTATTATATAAGATTTCTAAGTGTTAATTTTATATAAGTATATATATACATATATATGTATACACACATATTCATTCTTTGTTAAAAAGTAAAATAACATCTAAAATACATATATTTAATTAAAAGCTCATTTTCCAAAATTAAAACATGTTCATAGAAAAAAGTCTATGTACAATATTACTATATAATAAGAGAAATGCAAATAGAAAAGCACAGCCATCAGATAACAAAAGTTTGTTTTTAGATAGTTACCTCTTAGACAATGACATTTTTTCTTTTCTTTTTTAGATAGCAAAAATTTTTAAGTGAAGATGGGAACTCCCATAATTCTGCTAACAAGACTGTAAATTAGAAAGACATGTTTGGACAACATTGTGGCATTATAGATTTGAGGATGTGCAAATCCTACACATTTTAATTCTTTACATGTCTAACTCATTTTGAATCATTAAAAATGTACCTCCTCTTTTAATTACTGAAAAAATAGAAATAAGTGATAACAGTCCCATATAGAAATGAGTTAAACCAAGACAGATCACACACAGAATTTTGTGACCACTTACAGAAGCTATCTGAAGTCCTCTGGCTTAATGTTAGAAGATTAGTGGCAAATGTGGTCAATTTTAAAGAGCCATCATCAGAATGGGAATAAATCCATGGAAGTGAGAGCATTCCACATAAATCTTCCAGAATATGATCTTCAAATGAAGTTTTTACTACAGAAACACATAACAGGTAATTAATTATCTTTTCCTTAATTGTATTCACCTGTGTCTTTTTATCAATTAAAAACAGATGCTCCAACGTCATGGATGGAACTGGAGAGCATTATGCTAAGTGAAATAAGCCAGTCAATGAAGGAAAAATACCACATGATCTCACTCATTCATGGATAATAGAGACCATTATAAACTTTTGAACAATAATAGATACAGAGGCAGAGCTGCCTCAAACAGATTGTCAAACTGCAGCAGGAAGGTCGGGGAGGGTTGGGGGGCAGGAGGTAGGGGGGTAAGAGATCAACTAAAGGACTTGTATGCATGCATATAAGCATAACCAGTGGAGATAAGACATTGGGGGATAGGGGAGGCTAGGGGACTGTCTAGGGCGGGGGGATAAAATGGACACATATGTAATACCCCTTGTAATACTTTAAGCAATAAAAAAAAAAAAATTAAAAAAAAAACAAAACAAAACAAAAAACAAAAACAAAAACAGATGCTCCAGTCCTGGCAGGGTGGCTCAGTTGATTGGAGCCTCATCCCATAAAGCAAAAGGTTGTGGGTTTGATTCCCAGTCAGGACACATACTTGGGTTGTGCGTTTAGTCCCAGGTTGGAGCACGTACAGGAGACAACTGATAGATGTTTTTTCCTCTCACATCGATGTTTGTTTCTTTCTCTCTCTCTCCCCCTCCCTCTCTCTCTAAAAATCAACTTTAAAAAACCAAACACACACACACACACACACACACACACACACAAAGCCAGACATTCTAAACATCAAGTGGAATTAGAACAAATGTTCAGTTAACAGCTGTTCTTAACAGATATAATGCTCTAAGGCCTGTGAATCCCTCAAAAATTAAATGTAACTTCATAAAAATATACATCTATGTATTTTTAAAGATCATAGCATTCTTCAGATTCTCAAAAAAAATTTTTTTATATATTTTATTGATTTTTTACAGAGAGGAAGGGAGAGGGATAGAGAGCCAGAAACATGGATGAGAGAGAAACATCGATCAGCTGCCTCCTGCACACTCCCTACTGGGTATGTGCCCACAACCAAGGTACATGCCCTTGACCAGAATCAAACCTGGGACCCTTGAGTCCGCAGGCCGACGCTCTATCCACTGAGCCAAACTGGTTAGGGCTCTCAAAAAAATTTTAAAGTTATAATTTCTATTGACTGAAAACGTATAATAAATCAATATATTACACAAAAAAATTTCACAATTGGAAATTACTGACAAGCTTAACAAAACAAATCAAGAAAACTTCCGGTTATTCCAAACATTTGTTCATTTACACCTTAGGCAAAAGAGATTTCTATACTGATTATCTCTGAAGGTTATTTTGAATTACTACTTATTTGTACTCACCTTGAATATAAATCAAAACATCATATATTTTTATCACTTTATCGATAACTGCTTCCAGATCAGGTTTCTGAACACATTCCAACAAACTCCTACAGCTCTTAAGCACTTTTGTGTAAAAATCCAAAGACATCCAAGTAATTACTACTGAAGTGTTCTTCTTACACTTCTGGTGACAGTCTTTGAAGTTATGGCTGCAGTTAATACATTTTTTAAGACATGGATTAAAATGAATTGTTAGTCAAAACTAATAATATAGTAACCCAAAAGAAATTGTATGAAACTAACATATAATTTTAAACCAATTCAAAGTAAATATGTAAATCAATTAATATGTAATTATTTTAATTTTAATCTCTTTATGTCTTTCTAAGCACTCTAAGGATTTGGTAAAGAAAATTAATCTAGGATATTTTAATCTGGCATCACCAGGCTTAAAACTGACCAAAGATATACCTTCATAATTATTAATTAAATCTTTTCTTAATAATAGAACAAGGGGAGACTTCAGCCTAATTAGTTATTCCTTCAAGTTATCCCAAATTCTAAATTAAAGGTAACATTAATCAATATAGTTTCTGTAAAATTTCTTCCAGCCCGGGTGGCATGGCTCAGGGGTTGAGCATCAACCTATGAACCTAGAGGTCACCATTTGATTCCCAGTCAGGGCACATGCCCAGGTTGTGGGCTTGATCCCCAGTGTGGGGCATGCAGAAGGCAGCAAATCAATGATTCTCTCACATCATTGATGTTTCTAACTCTCTCTCCCTCTCTGAAATCAATAAAAATATATTTTAAAAAAGAAAAAATAATAAAAAAATAAAATCTCTTCCATAACTTTGTATTGGCTAGTTAAAAGAGTAAATCAGACCAGAAGAGTCAGAGTGATGTAGATTACTGCATAGGGAATATAAGCAATACAGTGGGGCCTTGGCTTACGAGTTTAATTCGTTCCGTGACAGAGCTCGTAACTCAAATTACTCGTATGTCAAATCTTAAAGTGAACGAGTGAGACACGTGATGCTGGGCTGATGTTGTGGCATTCACTGTGACGTTCGCTGCGCCAACTAGCGGTGGGGATCTGAAGCTGGCTCATAACCCGAATTTTAGCTTGCAACTCAAAGCAAAAAAATCAGCTGAGAGACGGCTCGTATCTCGAAAAACTCATTAGGACACTCGTAAGTCAAGGCCCCACTGTAATATCATAATAACTATGTTATCAGAGAGACCCATTCTGTAAAGTACATGATTTTCTAGCTACTATGCTGTCCATCCAAAACTAATACAGAATATAAACTGTAATTGGAAAAAAAAGATTAAATCAGGATATACAGAACAAATGATAATGTAAAAAATTAACAATGTGCAACTGAAAAAAAGACTAAATCTCAGAGAGACAGCTAGCTTATTATTTCTTCTGGTAGAATAATTAACCTATATTAAAAATACTGAACTGAAAATATACCTCTGAGGAGTTCTAAATTCCTACTCTTACTATCAAAGGCAAATGTTCTTTTAACTTAATGTTTGACTAAAAGAACAGTGGCTTTTGAGTTGCATAAAAATGTATTCTGCTACTTTCTAAACATGTATGCCCAGGAAAGTTAGACTTCAAACAAAAAAAAAGCTTCAATTTCACCAACCCTTAATAATAGCATTTACCTCACAGAATTGTAAAAATTAAATAAGTTATAAATAGTACTTATCACAGTACTTCGCATTTAGCAAGTACTCAATAAAAAACAAATTTCTACTTCACTGAAAAGCTTGTGTTTTCAGGTCACACAAATCAATTGAATGAGGTCTCCTAATAAATTCAAATTTATTACAGGAAACCCACCCAGAAAATACAAGTTGCTTTACCAGTCCATGTTTTGAGGAGAACAATAAACAGTACACAGAGCAGTCAGTTGTAAGACAACAGCAATTCCTTCTAACGTCTCAGTAACAGGATTCTTTAGACTACTGCAGTCAAGGAGGGTCTGAAGGGATTCAGCTTTCTGTTTCAGTGCACTCCATAATATGCTCTTTTTGTTCATATCCACATGATTGATTCTGTAATTATAACCACAGAATATATTCATATTTAATGTAAATTTGGTTCAAATATGAAAAATATGTAAAACAAAAGATAACATGCAATGTCAACTACTGAAATGTATCCTAAAATTTAAAACACTCACTTATATGTGGAATCTAATGAACAAAATAAACTGACAAACAAATAGATCCAGAGACATGGAAGCATGGAACAGACTGAGGATCCTCAGAGGGAAGGGGGGGAGGGCAGGGGCAAGAGAAGGGAAGAGATCAATGAAAGAACTTATACGCATATATGCATAACCCATGGACACAGACAATAGTGGGGTAAAGGCCTGGGGAGGGGATGGAAGTGGGGAGGAGGGGGATTAATGGGAGTAAAAAAAAGGACATCTGTAATACAACAATAAAGATAAATTTAAAAAATAAATAAATAAAAGATTCAGAACAATTTCCAGGGCTGTTTGAAATACAGGAATTCTTTGCCACAAGACAAAAAGAATTATTTGTTCACATTTTTTAAAATTGCTATTAGATGTATAGTCTCAGATACTTTTCATATATTAAAAAGTTAAACTAAATAGGCAGGTAAGACTTAAAAATATTTTAAATAACCATACTCAGCCATGAAATTTTCATACTAACACTATTAAAATATTTTAAGCATTCCTTTGACTACCTTTAGAAAGAAACAATGTTCTTTGTGTATTTAAGTTGAAGCACTAACTGAAGGCAATTTTTAAGAGTAAATAAAGTTTTACTAAATGACTAAATAAAAAATGAATGAAGGTCATACTCCTCAGTCTGTTTTGTTGCTCTTTTAGAAGAGTTCAGAGATGAGCTGAGTCGACGCCTTTTAGGTGATATTCCATCACTATTACTGCTGAGATTTTCCTGTTGAATTTGAACTTCCTCAATAATTTCCATACTTTCCATTTTTAAGGCTGCATAAAGTGGGCCCAACAAATACTGTGGAAGCAAAAAGAACTTCAAAAATTATCTCTTAGAAAATGTTTATATTCATAGACAGCAAATATGCATTAGGTATTGGTTATAAGTTTTCTAATAAGGTAAACTATTTTTGGAGTCTCATCAGGCAAAACAAAGACCTAAGTTAATCTATTATTCACAGTCTATATATATCAGTAGTTCTTTATCTATAACTATGTTTCTATAGTCTTTTTTTTTTTTTTTTTTTAATATGGAACGCTTCACAAATTTGTCATCCTTGCGCAGGGGCCATACTAATTTTCTCTGTATCCAATTTTAGTATATGTGCTGCCGAAGCAAGCACTCATTCTATAGTCTTAAAAGGCATGACAAATCCTCCTATACCTTTTTGATCTCTCTATCAAAATGCCACAAAAAAAATTTCTATAAGGGAACTACTAACTTCTTTCATACTACAAATCCAGAAAGTCATTTAATTAAGTTACTGCATATCTATTTCATTATACTGCCTATCTCCCATAGTCCAAACAGGAAAAGAGGGATAATTTAGCATGACTAGTACTATGCACCCACAGGTTTTCTAAGTTATTGATTAGATAAAATCTGTTACTGCTCAAAGTTTATGTAATAAGTTGTTCACTGGCCCCCTTTTAATTAATAATGCAACAAACATGCATACACTTCACAAATTCTACTTTAAAACAGCTGAATTTGGCCCAGCCAGTGGCACAGTGGTTGAGCATAAACCCATGAACCAGGAGGTCACAGTTTAATTCCCGTGCCCAGGTTTCAGGAATCAATCCCCAATAGGAGGTATGCAGGGGGCAGCTGATCAATGATTCTCTCTCATCATTGATGTTTCTATCTCTCCCTCTCCCTTCCTCTTTTTGAAATCAATAAAAACATATTTTTTAAAAAAACATTTGACTTTGGAGGTTTGTTACCAAGTAAGTGAACAAATTCTTCTAAAATCAAAGTAAAAATCTATTATAGGAAGCCAAAGTAGATCATGAAAATCATTTCATTCTAAATGTACATTATTAAAAATTTGTATTTTTGCCCTAACCAGTTTGGCTCAGTGGACAGAGCGTCGGCCCTCAGACTGAAGGACATGTACCTTGTACCTCAATTATAGGCTAGATCCCCAGCCCTGGTCAGGGCTCAGGTGGGAGGCAACCAATCGATGTCGCTCTCTCACATCGATGTTTCTATCTCTCCCCTCCCTTCCACTCTCTAAAAATCAATGGGGAAAAAAATATCCTCAGGTGAAGATTAACAAAAGAAAAAAAATTATATTTCCTCATTATTTTATCCTGCATATATGCATATACAAATTATAAAAAAAAAAATACATACCTAACAAGTAACCTTTAAAATTACTTACCTCTGCATCTACCTGAATTCCAAGCACATCTACGAGAGCTCTGCAAATATTTTTCACATAAACCTTCCTAACTTGTAAAGCAGACTCATACCCAGCAGGCACATATTTAAGGAAATATTGCAGTAAATGGCAAAAAGCTCCTTTTAGCAAATCAGACTTAAGCCACATAAGCACACCATTTTCAAACATGACACAGAGTTTTTCCAGCAGCATATTTAAATAGACAGGTTCAATATTTCTATAAGCTTCTGCTTCAAAGGGGAATAGTGTCTTTATCAGCTTTGATAATGGATCTTCATAGAGTTTCAACTGGTCAGCATCCATTTCTACAAGGTGTTTTAATAATTCCAAAAATGAACTGAAAAAAGTGCTAGCCAGTTGTGCTGGAAGTCCTCCAAGCTCAAAGAGTTCAGTTAAAAGGCTAATTGACAAGGATTTAATTTTTGGACTACCATACTCCAGCAGAACACATCCTATCCGCCAAAGTAAGAGTTCTTGTCTTCTAAAAAACACAATTGCAATAATACGAATAAGAACTGTTAATAAAGTGACTTCAATAAATTCTAAATTTTGCATGTTCGTAAACTTTAAAGGAGCTGATTGTAAATATCCCACATGTTCATCTAATTGACTTAAAAATCGGCTAAGTACCACTGGCCATTCCACAAAGTGTCCCATTGCATTTCTTCTGTGGAGGTAAATCAAGTCTTCAAAAAGATGTAATAATTCCTTTGTCAGTACTCCAAAAATAGTAGGACTCTTGGTTTTAAAAAGAAACAATAATGAACAGATGACTTCACAGATTTTCTTGTGTAACATATGACAGGATGGAGTTGCTGCAATCCGCAGAAGTCTTCTTATGATCCAATTACTAAAGTCTTTGAAATAAACAAACAAAAAAGATATTTACTAATTAAATTAAATGCCTGATAGTTTATTTTTAAAGTACAAACTTCACTAACAAAATAGTCTAAAACATTCTCTATACAATGGAAATATAATAATTTAGAATACCAATTTTGATGTCAAACAGACAAGGTCCTAGCTTTCTACTTACTAGCTGTGTGAACTTTCAATTTATCTGAATCTCTAACTTCATCTATGAAAAGGGAATAATGACATCTACTTTACGTGTTACTGTGAGGACCAAGTAAGATAATGCATGTGAAATTCTCAGCATAGTGCCTGAAGTTAAATAAATGCTCAATAAATAGCAGTTATAGTTATTAATACCCCTTCAACAAGTATTTATTGAGTGGCAACTTTGTCCCAAGTGCACAAGAACAAATCAGTCCTAGTCCTGTCCTCATAAATCCTATAATATAGTTTCTGAAACTTTTTGACTAAAGCTGAGATACACTTTATATTATGACCCAGTACACATAGGCATATTTAAATGTATGAAACAAAAGTTTCATGAAACAGTATTTATTCTTATTATATGCAGTGTACTATGTTTCTAGTCTATTATATTTTATCTTCATAACCAAAACTATTATGGATCATGATCTATGATTTAAAAAACAGTGTGGCAAAGAATACAGAAATACAGGTATTTATAATATAATTTAAAAACCACTACGATAGAAGAAATGCAGAACACTCTGTATTAAGAAATCATTAAGAAGGAGCAACTAAACCAGTCCTAAGCCAGGCAATCAGGAATAGTGGTCAGAAAGGCTTTTTGGAGGACGTGCTATAAAGTTGAGTCTTGAGATTCAAGCAAAAATATTTAAAATACTGTGCATAGTACATAAAAATAAGAGATGTTTGCTTTACATCTCTTTAGGAGCAAGCCAATAAAAGGACAAGTAGTGGAGAAAATAAGGATAAAGTCTAGAAAAAATTTCAACATCTAGAACAGGTGTCAGCAAATTCATTTTTTATTGAATTTATTGGGATGACATTGGTTAATAAAAGTATATAGATTTCAGGTGTACAATCCTGTAATACATCATTATATATTAGTTCACCACCCAAAGTCAAGTCTCCTTCCATCACCATTTATCCCCCCTATAGCCTCTTCTAACGCACACCACCTCCCTTTCCCTCTGGTAATCACCATAATGTTGTCTGTCAATGAGGATTTTGGGGGGTTTTTTTTGTTTTTTTGTGATTTCGAGGCTGGGTAAAAAAGGTGAAGGGATTGAGAAAAACAAAAATTCAGCAAGCTTATTCTTTTGGGTTTTTTTTTTTTTAAAATCCTCAACCTAGGATATGTTTTTTATTGATTTTAGAGAGAGAGAAAGGAAGGGAGAAAGAGAATCATCAATGTGAGAGAGAAACACTCATCAGCTGCCCCCCCCCAACCCACCCCATCCCACCGTATCTCACCCCATCTCATCCTACCCCTGTATGCACCCTAACCGGGGATTGAAACCCCAATCTAGGTGTGTGCCCTAACCAGGAATCGAACTCACAACCTTTTGGTATATGGGATGAAGCTCTACCCAACCGAGCCACCTGGACAGGGTCCAAAGTCATTCTTAAAGAACCAGATAGGTTTAAGGGCCATGTGGTCTCCAAGTGAACTACTCAGGGTTCTCAATGTTGTCTTTTTAGTAGTTACAAACAATAAGTAAATGAATGAGCATGGCTGTGTTACAATAAATAGCGCTTACTCTTTATAAAAACAGGCAGCCTAATCTTCTAGATTAGGCTATTGTTTACTAATACCTAATCTAGAAGAAAGAGATTACCAAAACCAGAAAAAAAGAAAACAGCTAAAGTATTCAATAGCAAATAAACAAATTTAATTACTTCTGTTCCATTGTGGGTATCTAGTTTATAAAAAATTAAAACAATAAGGATGCAGAAAATAAAATTAACCATTACCATTTTACTTCCTCAATTTATAACAAATGTGACTAAAATATATCTATCAATATATATATATTATATTTCAGAGAGAAGAAGGTAGCTTTCAAAAAACCAATTGCAAATGAATGTACAAATAGCAAGACTTACCAATACAACAGCCTTTGGCCTCATTTTGCTCATGGCTTCCATTCACATTTACAAACATAAGAGGGGAGGACTTCATGATATGCTGGATGAAATCAAGCAACATCACAGAGGTTGGCTGAGAGTCAGTTTTCTTTACAAGCTCTAGAGCAACTAAAAATACAAGATTCATTTTAAAGAGTTGTGACAAGTTAAACAACAGTATTTTGTTAAAAAACTAAACTTTGGTGACCATAATTATAGTGCTCATGGTAAATTGATGGGGCTAACCATTACAATCCTACCTAATTTTGAATGTTTAATAACCATGCTCATTTATCTATTATACATCCATTCATCAAATATGTACTACAGGCCCATAATATACGCCTGGCACTGTGCTAAAATCTGAAGATAAAAAAAAATCATCTTCAGGTGACACAAATAAACTAATAATTGTAATATAATATTTAATTACAGTAATACAGCATAAAGAAAACAAGTGTGTGGGAAGATGCTGTGAAGGCATCTTGATTCCTGGATGGTGAAGAGTTAGTAAAGCACAAGGGGGGTGGACTAGCGGTTTAAACATATCTTGCAAATATTCAGTAGTTTTTTTGTTATTTTTCAGCAAATAATTTTACTGATTGAAAAAAGGGTAAATAACTATCACAAACCATAAAATCTGTGCCAAATTCGGAATTAAATTTATAAACCATGAGCCAAATGGCACTCTATATTACCCCTTCAATGTAATTTTAATAGATATATCAGATATGACACCATTCTTGCCGAGTTTCTAAGTTGTCTTTTTTTTTTTAATGTTTTTATTGATTTTTGGAGAGAGAGGAAAGGAAAAGAATAGAGAGATAGAAATATCAATGAGAAAGAAACTGCCTCCTGCATGCCCCCTACTGGCGATGGAACCCCAAATCCATGCATGTGTTGTGGCCAGGAATGGAACCAGTGAATCTTGTTTCTAAGGTTGATGCTGAAACACTGGCTGGGCTGTAATTTGTCTTTTAGATTGCCCGAGATAGAAAAAACAAACAGGAGTTGATTCAACAACTTACAAAGTTACCAGTTTTTATGGCATTTGCTGTTTTTCAACCACTGGCACAAGACCTAGCTAAAAGAAGTCCACATAATCGGAACTGACCAAATATTTTTTATCTATACTAATATCTTATATCAAAGAACTCACTGTAAGCAACAGAAAATATAGATAACAAATAGGAAACCAGATTTCTTTTAAGAGCCTAATTGATATTATATAACAAATACTGTAAATAACTTGCTTGAAAATAGTTAACTATCATAAATACTAATTCCATAAAACTACATGGAGAAAAATGCTTGCAAAACATTGTATATATGGAAAAGAAAACAATTTGTAAAGTTTATAAAAGAAATAGTTATTTCTTACCAACATTTACATCTGTGAGTATTCTGTCAATAAACTGACATAGAATTTGTCTTGGCTTCTGCACAACTGTATTATATTCCTCTGCACTGGCACTAAAATACAAATAAAAAGTTTTTAAACCATTAAATGGAGTCTCAATTTCACTTGTAAAAAATTCTCTAAAGTTGAACTTATCAAATTTGTTTAATTTTAATGTTGACATTCACAATATTCTTCTGTTTAAAAATGAAAGGAAAATCTAACTTAACAAGGAAAAAAAGAACATGCTAAATGACACCACAGGCATCTAATTTGCAAAACCTAAATTTCCCTGCCCAATATAGTAGCCAGTAGTCACATGTAGTAGGAATTCAGCACTGGAAATGTGGTTAGTCCAAATTGAGATGCACTATAAATATAAAATACACATTGGATTTTGAATGTATGGTACAAAAGATAGTATAAAATCTCATTGATAATTTTATGTTAATTATTGAATGTTATCTAGATATATTACTGAGTTAAATAAAATAATTTCATTTACTTCCTTACTTTTTAAAATGTGGCCACTAGATCATTAAAATTACATATGTGTTTGACCTGATAAATATACCAGGCTAATTTTTAAGTTTATAATTTTGCATGACCTGCAAATCCTATATAATAAAAGAGAAACATGCAAATTAACTGTCCCTCTGCTATGCTTAAGCCATGCCCACCAGCCAATCAGGAGTGAGTATGCAAATTAACCCAACTAAGATGGCAGTGGCCACCAAGCTGGAGTGAGCAGGAGGATTGGGTTGCTCCCGGCGATGGAGGAAGCCAAGCTTCCCGCCTGCCCTGACCCGCTTCCCTGACCCACTTCAGCTCCACTCAAGGCTACAAAGTTTCAATTATAGAAGATAAATAAATCCCAGAAAAAAAAGGAGAGGCTGGGAGCTTGGGTCACCAGAGGGCATGGCCAGCCTGAAAACAGCCATCAGCCCCTCACCAGGCTGGCCAGGCACCCCAGCGGGACACCCTCACCCTGAAGGGGCTGTGGGAAGCCTGAAAACGACCCTCAGCCCCTCACCCAGGCTGGCCACACCCCCATAGGGTGAGGGTCCCCACTGGGGGGCTTGGCCAGCCTGCAAACAGCCATCAGCCCCTCACCCAAGCTGGCCAGGCACCAAAGCAGGACCCCCCCCCCCCCACCATGAAGGGACTGTGGCCAGCCTGCAAACAGCCATCAGCCACTCACCCAGGCTGGCCAGGCACCCCAATGGGGACCCCCACCCTGGAGGGGGTGTGGCCAGCCTGAAAAAGGCCCTCAGCCCCTCACCCAGGCTGGCCAAGCACCCCAGCGGGACCCCCACCCTGATCCGGGACACCCTTCAGGGCAAACCAGTCGGCCCCCACCCGTGCACCAGGCCTCTATCCTATATAGTAAAAGGGTAATATGCAAACTGACCCTAAGAGTCCAGAGATGGAGATGGTGAAGACGCCTTGCCATACTAGCAGTCAGCAGCTGTGCGTCGCTGCAGGTTGCCCAGGAACAAACCAGAGATGGTCAGACCTGCATTGCCACTGTTTGCCCACCATCCAGAACTAGCATATCATTGCTGGCAAATACACATAAGGAACTGTTGGACATTGAAATTGGGACTCAAAGAACTGTTGGTCCAGAAAGAAACTTACTACAGACTGATTCATTTGGCTCTCAGCATAAGCACTATTGCCTGTCTCATTTTTGTTCTCACTTTTCAAGAATTACTAAGGAAAAGAAATGGGGGAGATGCGGGAGGCCGCCCATTGTCTTCACTAGCAGAGAAGTACAAACAAGGATCCCAGAACACTGGTGAACCTTGAACCCATGGCAAGGGCCAGAGTTATGCACCGACTGTCCTCACAATGGGGGCTCAAGCTATTTCCTGACCAAATATTCTCAGAGTAAATCCTTCTAATATTTACTGACCTTTAAGATAGTCTGTCTGCTACTGCTATTGCCTGCCTGACTAAGGGCTTTATGTGTATCCAAAGTTGAATAAAAGGCTGGCGAGGCCTGGGCACCAGGGGAAGTCCTTCCCCTTGAGTTGGACTTGCCTGCCTGGCCCACCAATATTTCCAAATTATCCCGTCTCATGTTTCTTTCATTTGTGTGCGGCCCCTCCTCCAGATCCTGAACCCTGAACCACATGGGACATGGGGGAACATACACAGTTTTTTCCTCAGAAAGATGGCGGATTTGACTCAGGAAAAGATACAGGCTGGTTCTAGCAACAAGATTGGTATTTCCATAATAAAAATATGTAATGCTAATAAACCGTGTACAAAAGTTAATCTTAAAGCCACCAAAAAAATCAGTAAATTGTCTCTGTTACAAAATTTGCCAAAGAAAATGCCTTAAAATAATTATAATTGACTCTAGAATCTGAAAATTGTTGAAACATAGATAAAAAATATACTAATTATAAAAACCTAAGTAGCCCAGGTAAAAACTGACTACGCCCTTTGTTAAGAAGGCTTCCCCTCCTTGGGCCTGGAAACATTTCCAGTAGAAAGAGTGTAACTAATTTGCATTTGAATAGCTACCTGTCTGTTTCCAATCACTGGCAGCTCAAGACCTTGGAAGTTCCCTAAATTAAATCAGGTATTTTGAAATGACAAAATGCTAAAATATTAATCTAAATTTACCTCATGAATCTAGAGGACAAAATTGAAGCTATTAATTCATTATATCTTTTATTTTTTTAAATTATTTCTTAAGAATATAGGGTGTTATTAATCTAAAGAAATGCTAAACATTTAACTTACCAGCAAAAAATTTATAAGCTCTAAAATTTTAAGGTTCAAATTAAATTGAGAGAAATTATATAACTGTGGTAACTAACTGCCTAAAGTATAGAAATTTATTTTTGAGAAAATAAAATCTTATATTTTCTCTGAAAAAATTAGGAATTCAAAATATGTTGCTTATTGGTCTAATTAAAAAAGAAGAATTAATTCTGTGATCCCAACCAAAATTTTTAATACAAAAACCAGTTTAAATTTAATTAATATCTTTTAAGATAATTGTAAAAAGTACATAATCTTTAAATAATACATATATACGTATGTATATGATAGTCTTTCCAAGTTAAATTTCAAAGATATAACTGAGGAGTAATTTTGGAGCATTTCAAGGGCCCTGAAATGTTTTCAAAGGTTTGCTCTCTTATTAAAGGAAATATTTTTAAATTTAGCCAATCTAGTATACTTGAAATCATGTGGAAAGCTTAAACAAATAAAAATTAACACATATATTTTACTTATATACATATATCTTAAATGTTATGAAGGTTATGGCCTCTAAGGAGGGCAAAATAAAGTAACAAAATATTTCTTAAAATCCAAAAGCAGGATTTTAAGACGGAATAAAGCAAACAAAAGCCCCTAGCCACCTGCATTTTAATTAGGCTGGAGGTGGGGCGACATCTGTACCTTGTGAATCAGACTTATAAGTTTACTAAATTTACTTGCTTTGCTTTTTTAATAAAAATGCCTACTGAAATTACTTAATAAATTAGCTTTTTAAAATATAATCAAGGTCTCATATAAATTAAGGTATATGAGAAGCCAATATTTCTATAAACAATTTAATCCTATATATGCACCCCTATGTTCATAGCAGCACAATTCACCATAGCTAAGATCTGGAAACAGCCTAAGTGCCCATCTGTAGATGAGTGGATTAGAAAACTTTGGTACATCTACACAATGGAATACTATGCTGCTGTAAAAAAGAAGGAACTCTTACCATTTGCAACAGCATGGATGGAACTGGAGAGCATTATGCTAAGTGAAATAAGCCAGTCAATGAGGGAAAAATACCACATGATCTCACTCATTTCTGGATAATAAAGACCATTATAAACTTATGAACAAACATAGATACAGAGGCAGAGCTGCCTCGAACAAACTTTCAAACTACAGCAGGAAGGCTGGGGAGGGTTGGGAGGCAGGAGGGGAGGGGTAAGAGATCAACCGAAGGACTTGTATGCATGCATATAAGCATAACCAATGGACATAAGACACTGGGGGGTAGGGGAGGCCAGGGGATTGTCAAGGGCGGGGGGAAAAAAAGGAGACATATGTAATACTCCTTGTAATACTTTAAGCAATAAAACAATAAAAAAATAATTAATTAATTAATTAATTTAAAAAAGAAAACAATTTAATCCTAGTAAAGTTTTCTAAATTATTGACGGCTTCCCATAATCCCTCTGTATATGCAATTAAGCCGAAGGGGATACTCTTTACAAATACAATTCTAAATTTAATAAAAAGAAATTTTTAAATTTTAAAATCTCTTCCACTAATATTTACAGGGTAATCTAAAGATTGTTGTTAAAATACCAAATCTGACTATAATAGTAGTCACCATGAAGGGAAGTCGTTTAATGTGACATGGCCTGGCAATATCAGCCAGCATCAAAAAACAGCCATGTTTGTTACATTTGTTGCTTGGTGTAAAAGAAAGACAAAGATTTTTTTAAATTGAAATTCTCTAAGTGTGGCCTGGAAATTGCTCTGGAAGGAAATAAAAAGAGGTTTCCTTCAAACATCTGGAAAACTATCATTGAAAATCAATATATTAGGCATCAAAAATAAAAGTAAATAATTTGTATTTTTGCCTCCCTAAACAAAGCTTATGTAAAGTTACTCAAAAACTAATTGCAAAAACTTAATTAATGTCATTTACTGTCCATAACCTAGAACAAGTTAAAAAATAGACCTTACTTCAGATTAATTTAAATTGGCTAATTGAAATAACTGAATATTCAAGAAAACTTAATTGTACTGTGCAGGAACCTGTTCCTGAAGTATTAACTAAATTTTTTATTGATGGTTCAAAAATTGCTTAATATGCAATGAATCCAGAGCAGCCATATTTCTAAACAGAAAAATTGAAATTAAAAGCTATCAATGCTGCATTGTAAAATTTCCAAAATCCTCCTAATATTTAAATCAAAAAAGGGGGGATAGTGGAAAAATATCCTGTAAGAAAATTACATCAAACCTTAATTGCTTTAAATTTTTACTTTGAAAATTATTTTTCACTTGTAATGCTAATAACAAGACACCCATAAAAACA